TTTGTATTTAAATGTTTTTTTGTTGGTTTTTTTTTTTTTGGGGGGGGGGGTGTTTTTGTTTGATTTTTGTAGGACTGGTGTTTTCACGCCTCTCTCCGTACAAATTAGAGACCTAATTTAGGAGGTTTTGTTTTAGTTTTAGTAAGGTTTTACGGCGCTCGCAACTGCATAAGGTCATATGAGCGCCAAAGGGTGGATGTCAACAGAGAAGTCCAAACGGGGAATCAGGCTTACTCTGCTCACCTCTCTAGCCTCAACAGGACAGTCTGCTTAGACTATCAAGGAACCTCGGAAATAGCACTTTACAAGAGAGTGACAAAAATACAAAAGAAGTAGAGGAAAATGACGATAGTAAGGATGAGGAAAGAAAAGGCAGCAGTTCCCCCTATGTTGGTCCGGCACAGCATGAGCATGACATTGATAAATCAGCCCATGTACAATTCTACAAGGCATAAAACATGTTAATATCCCCCCTTTGGGAATGGCCTAAAGACACTTCAGTCAGTAGCCCTGCCCTGGTGAGGGGATAATTTAGGAGGTGGGCTTCCGACCCAGCCTGTGAGAGTCAGTCTGGTCTAAGAGAGATTAATATAATCAGCCAAAAGACCGAGGTACTCGATAACATTTTCCCCCTACTCGGAAATCGAACTCAGGTATCCTGTGCGCGACAGCGAAGCACCTAATCGCTGCACTAGCAATGTTGCTATAAAATTATTGAGACTTTTCAACTTTTGTTCAAGTCACTAATGTTGATTTTAGTGCGGTCAGAAATTCGTGACGCAACTTAATGTCAAATATTGCCTCAGCTATTGACTTGTGTCCATTTATTTTATTTGATCAACAGTTTTGTAAACACCTACTAGCTGTATTCTAGAAAATTCCTTAATAAATACTAATTTTAAAATCCCAAAGGGTGGTTGCTTCCGATTTTTTAAGGTTTACAGTCGGGACAACATCGCTTTTAAAAGCAAGCCCGCCATTTCTTTTTCTAATCGCGACATAATGCTTATTGAACGCATGCTTTGAGAACCTTTAGTTTAAGTGTGAAGACGTGTTCAATATAAAATAAATTTCTTGTAACAAGTTATTTATACCACTAAAAAAGTATCATTGGTGAGCTGTGACATAGGTCGTATGCGTCTGCAAAATTAGTGTGTGTGAGAAGCGGTAAGTACTGTGAACAATCCCGTTTTAGGTGTGATGGAGATTTATAGTATTTTATTTAGATTTATGAAGAAAGGTAAATTTAATCTAGCCTAAATTGTTGTGGAAAAATGTGATTAAGTTAAGACAAATTGATACATTATGCTGTGCAAAGTGAGGGTTGCATTAATTCATACGTTAAAGAGATATTTGAGGATAAATTGCGCTACGAATTTTTAACCGCACTATAAGATAGGTCGGTTGTTTTAACTTTACTCATCACAACGAAAATGACTAAGCCAATAATCTAATGATAATGACCAACTGGAAATTTCAAAACCGTTGAGAATACCACAGTATTCAATCAAGCGAGATTCACACGCTGCTTCGGGGAATGGAACCACAGTTCTCGGCTGCCATAGGAAGGCCGATAAGAGAAAAATGCTTCAAATAAAAAAAAAAAAGAAAGAACAAAAAACTACCAGGTATGAACAAGCAAGCGCTGGTTATATTCCTATAAGTGTCTCGTTGACGAAGACAATGCTTGATGAAGTGCTAAACACTGTGCATTATGATACATGACATGTAATGGTATTACGAAACCGCTTGATAGCTCGCGCTAGATTTTTTATAGCTTAAATCATTCTTTCTCTTTTCGGGCCACATGTTGCCCACTATTAATTTTTAAAAAAGATTAAAACGGCCAAAAGTGTGAAAGACAAGGAATTTATTATAACATAGTATAATTGAATAATAAACTTATATTCATGACTTCCATCAATAAACCCACCTTCCCTTAAAAGGAAAAAAAAATGGGAAAGTATCATAGCATGCTGCTGTTTTTAAGCAAATGGTGCAAATAGAGTTTACATGCACTTACACATTGCTCATACATATACACACACACACAAGCACATACACCTAACCAATTTACTTACTCGGAAATAACGCACACACACATAGGCGTACTAATACACACTGACAAACACACACACACACACACACACACACACACACAC